GGCTCTTGGATTCATAATCCATGCCCTCATATTTGTAAACACTGCCTGCAAATACATCTGCTCAAATATCTTGGAATTTGAAAAGCACATGAAAATACAAGGTAACCCAGTGAAAGAGGTGAGACGTTTGGTGCGCAACACATTATAGCACACAGCTGCGTTTCTTAAAACCCTGGTATGTGCATGAGTGTTGCACAAAGGCAACCAGAGCTACAGAGCAGGGCATCTGAGAGCAGCCTCACTGACAGGGGTACCTCACAGAGATGAAGCTTTCATCATATGAGTCAGTGGTAGCAATAGTGAGTCAATGAGTGAATTAAACAGTTGTCATGCAGTTGGTCTTGGGCATTTATTTAATGACCACAGCCAACACAGTACTTCTGCAGCTCCTCAGCAACACACCCGTAAAGTTTGAAGTCAATCGGATAAATGGTTGACTAAAAAATTGAAATATAAAATAGATGCACAGAGATTACTTAATTTCTGTCAGAAGTTAGCACTAGTGTATTGGTACTTGTATTTTTAGTTACTCTTATTTTCTGACACTATTGCATGTGAGTTGCTTGAGGTGCCTGGGATTTAAGATTTTCATTGCCAACATGTACGCTGTATCTGTTGTGCAGATGACAATAAAACCTTTTAACCTTGAAGTTAAAGTACTGTATAAGTTTTATAAGTTTCAAGGCAAATGAGTACTTCCTCTTAGACACTTAAGTTTGATTCTCTTTTGATATGCAGATAGAAATTAAAGGAGGGATAAACAGTGCGGTGATCATGCCACAGTTGACGTTCTTTTCTTCGGGCAGTAAAATGTGTTGACGAGTCATCATCATTGCTCTGGTGACTTAATCCACAGAGCTGTTTTTCTGGCCGCTGGTAGTGAAGCATGCACAAGAGACTGTTGTATTTCTGGAGTCTTGCATCAGAAGAGACACTCATACTCATGGCTCCTAAGCAAAGCTTCATCCACTGTGGTACAGCCTATCAAGGGAACACATTAAAAACCAAAAATAGTGTCACCACTTCTGCTTATGTTTGGTCACTTTTGGATTTTGTGCTTTCATTCTGAGTCCTGCAACCGAGGGAAAATTCTGGTTAATTAAAGCTCAGATCTTATTTTGTAGTTTTGGCCACCAGTAATTTAACATTTTATTCATCGTGTTAATTGCTGGGATCTGTGAATTGGGCAAGAAACATGGCAAGTCAGTTATTTGACAGAAAAAATAAATATAAATTGTAATTCTAACCACAGCTGTCACAGCTTATGACATGGTTCCACTTTGGTTTCCAATCTAATCACGCAATAGTCCCCATGTTTTGCTAATTGCTTTGATACTTTTTGTTGTTCCACTTTTTTCGACATTAATGAGAAAATGAGCTAGAGCTTGTTAATCATGGACCTTTAAATGTATAAAAAGGCAGATTAAGTTTTCTTCGGACAGAGCCATGCAGGCTAGCTATTTCTCCATCCTCTGTTCTAAGTTATGCAACTTGGCTGTTGGGTGTAGCCTTATTGTTACTGTACAGTAGACGTGAGAATAAATATTTTCGTCCTCAACAGGAAAGAGAAGAAGAGTAGAAGTGATTCGGAGGACTCGTTGAGAATATGGCCTGTTGCCTTATTTATCGTGGACCTCTCTGGTCTATTGCCCTGGCAGATTTCTCTGCAGCGATATCACTATTTTTCTTGAGCTCAGCAAGTACTTTGGTTAATACAGTGTCATCGTGTTCCATAGAGATTAGGGGCTAAAGCTTAATAATAATAATTATACCTGTATATGGAGTTATCTTCCAAACTGTAACATTAAGTGCTTATTGTTTACAGTAGATGGGTTGCTTAGGTCTCTGTGTGCCGTTCACTTAGTAGAAGATTTTGTAAGGGATGGCACCATGGCCGTTAAAGTATAATGCCCTTGTTTGATCACTGTGAATAGTTTATTTGTCAGGTAATACTTTTGTGTGAATAGTATATTTGGCAGGTAATACTTTTGTGCGAATAGTATATATGTGGCAGGTAATACTTTTGTGCGAACAGTATATGTGGCAGGTAATACTTTTGTGTGAATAGTATATGTGGCAGGATGTAGCTCTTCCCTACCTCCAATGGCTCATTACTAGTAAATCAACCAGCAACCACCACACAGGCTCCTTGTTGTAAATCTAAGATGGATGATGGCTGGTAGTGACCTTTAGTAGGTTTTACAT